AGAGAGGAGGAAAAGAGGGAGACAAAGGGGAAAAAGGGGGGGGGGGGGGGGGGGGGGGGCTCAACGGTGCCGCACAACAGCCACACACAGTAACCGCCGCAGCACCATCAAAGTAGCGGGGCCAACACGATTCACACAAAGCAGCACCAAAGAGGTCGCTGAAACACGAGAGTGCCTGGTGCCACAAGCAGACGATCATTTCAGTGCGCAGCAACAGTCAGCGAAGGAGTTTTCGAGCGATAGCGTAGGACGTAAGCAGAGTAAAAACAGTTTTTGACAGAACAGCGCATCGCCAATCACCGATGGTGTGCGTACCTGTTGCCGTCTGGAAGCTGTATCTCGATCGGCTCTCTTCCCGGGGGGAGAAGCTGGGGAAGTGGAACCTGCGAAAAACGGCGATAGGTTAGTGCGGCCTTTCAGACAACCCGAATGAATGGAACATCTCTGGGAGACGGTCGGTACAGGCGGTAGCTGAGCAAAGGGCATCTGCCTTTGATTAGGGTAGGCCGCTTCTTGCGGTAACGAACGGGAGGAAGGGTGTATTCGATGTGGTTTGCCAAGCTGTTGGCTCGTCTGCCCAAGAGGAAGGGTGGAACAACCAGCGGTCTTGTAACTGGTTTGCTTCTTTCGCTTGCCGACTGGCCGAATAGGCCACACACACCAAATAGTCGCTCGTCCGCTCGTACGATATTCTATTCTTGGTTAGGTATTCGGTGAAACACAGGCTGGTTGACCACAGCCTTTCATCGTCCACGAGACAACAATGCTGCCAAACGCCAATTGCTCATCGTGAGCAAATTTGGTGCGGATCGCACTAGATTCCTTGTTTTGGGGGTCATTGGCCGGTGCCAGCATGATTCACTCACCAGACGACTGAAAATAAGTCTGCGTTGCCAAAGGTGTTTCGTAACTTTCACCAAGCGTCAGATGGCGTACTTGCGGCCACCTAGTCAGCCGCCACTGCCACAAGCACGGTTGTATTGACGTCTAACCTAACCGGTTACCATCATGGAGTTGGTAGGTTGCATGCAAAAGAACTGCGGTCCCAAAAGAAAACCAAATGAACCCAGGGAAATATTTCCAGTAAGAGTAAGCAAAACCAAGAATACAACAACAACGACAACAACAATATGCACGCAAAGGCATTCGAGCAAGAGGAAACACAACTACAAGCAGAGGCAGAAAACAGCCAAAAAGGACAACCATGAAAGAACGGCACCTGTACTCCTACCAAAATCAGCAAGACGTGCACAGATTCTTCACTCCCGTGCAACCACTCCAGTTGCAGTTGCACCCTGTTACCTGATGAAACTTGAGATCCGTCATGAGGTTTTCCATCCTGGCGGTACCACGGAAGGCGAGAATGAGGCGGTCCTCTCCTCGACAGAGGATGGCTCGGATCTCGTGCTTCTCATCGTTGAAGTATGCCTGCCGTCGGAAGCATCAGGCGTAGAAAAAGGATGAAAAATGTCAAGGTTGTGCCGCGTGTTCCATCACAGTTCGGTCGGTTCGCATTTCACTTTTCTTTTGTTCGAGCTTCCCGTTGTCGTATTAGTCGTGTGTGTTTCGTTTTTATTAATGCATTTCCGAGCTATTGGATTTGCTACTGTAGTACCCGTATCGATACATGGACACATGATCGTTCCATTCTCTGTATTCATTCCCTGTTTGCAACACTCACGTTCACTTTTCGATTTTACTTCAAAGAGCAAGAACGAGAGGCAAAAGGAACGACATGCCGCACGAGTCGCTGTCTTCCATTTCGAACATGCCAAGTGTGGATGGAAACGGGGGTGTAGAGGTGAACATGCCAAGACAACGGGCACGCATATTCGTTTTGCCACAACGACAAACGGAGCGGCATCACAAACAAAATGACCTTCGGCATCAGACGAGGACAGAGCAGAATGGCAGCCGTAGTCCCCCCCCACCCCCCGAAAATCCCGTTTGTACAAATAGCACTCTATCAACGACCCTACATGGCCACAAGCGGAGGGGTCTCCAGTTTCGACCAACAAACACGCCCTGCTCGAGTTCTTGGGCCTTATAGAAGTCAAGTAGACCGCCATGACATCAATAACAATGATCACAGCACCAGCGGCGACACAACGACAACAAGACACGAAAAACAGCAGCTACCATAGCTCACCACTAACTCGAGGCCGAGGTAGGACAGGTCCTGCCGCCCCGGCGCGACGAAGTCGGAAAGGTCGACCTTGTGGGGGTCGTAGTACGCCTGCCATGCCACTTCCACCAGGAAGCAACTCGTCTCCACGCAGAATAGCGGGGACAGCTCTTGACTGTCCTTGTACCTCCTCACCACCTCCCTGAAAATTCAACAGATGACCGCGTCAATGAAAGACACCGACATATGACGGCTTTTAAGTGAAGTTGAATTTATAGCCGACCAACATATTCATCCGAAAAACATTCTTCCAACTATCATTAAAACCTGAGGTAATCATACTCGTCCCGTGCATGACTCTGGAGAAACGAGGCAACAGATGACCGCGTGAATGAAAGGCACCAACAGATGACGGAAATAAGTGGAATTGAATGTATTGCCGACCAACAATTTTCATCCGAAAAACATTATTATCCAACTATCACCAAAACCTGAGGCAATCACAATCGTCCCATGCATGACTCTGGACGCGAGAAACGAGGCAACTCCAGGGAGACGAACGCATCATCTATGTACGACGTGAGGGAAAACCGCCCCAACTCTGCAAGTACAACCGATGTGGTTAGTGGTTTGAGCGATGCCGATGATAAGAACGAAAAAATCAACGGAACGACTGTTCACAAGAAATGCAGGTATGCAGCGTGCATGACCAGTGATTGCGATGCCAAAGGCACCAGCAGTAAATCTCGAACAAGCCGCGATGATGTACGTCGTGCGTGCTCCGCATGTACACCCCAATCCGATTTGTACGACGTAAGGCTCCATCTTAGAAGAGTTTCTGCGCTTATGCCGAACCATGGCCGTCCAAACATGCTACAACGACGGGCAGGAAAGGCTCAAGACAACACCCATCGCAAGAGGAGGCCCTTCTCACGATACTTGTACCCGATGCAAATACCTTGGAGGCATGTCTCTCTCCATGTTGATGTACATGCGGTCGAAGAGGCGCTTGACGGAGTGTGTCGGGGGCAAGAAGAGGTAGGCCACGTTGTAGCAGACGGCGCTCACCAGGATCAGCTTCCCGAGAGGCTGCCGAATGCCGCCCGTCCAGGCCGATAGTCCCGCCGCGGCGCTCGTCATGGATTTCTGGGAAAAGGAAAATATTAAGTTGTAACGTTGTGAATGGTAGGTCTCCGTGGTACCTGTCTGTAATTGGTTCGCCCGCATGAGCACGTAGACAAGGGTTCCACGAAAACTCATTCCGGCGGTGGTGGGTGGTGGAGATACCATCCGCCGCTGGAAATGTACTAGGCACATTTTTTACCATCTTGGCGAATGAAAAGCGTATTTCCCTCGGCATGTATTGTACGATACGCCCGTTAACGCCGCTTGCCGAAGTAAAAAAAAAACGGCGTTCAAACCTTGGCTAACACGGGTGGCGAAACCCACCCACCCGCGATTCGTTCCTAACTCTTTGGGGACGACGATAAGGGCTGCCAGACTTCGGCCATGCATCTACCGACCTCGGCCTTGCATGCAAAATAACCGCCCCCCTTGTAACCCCGATTCCGTTGAAGAAATCCAGACTCACCAGGGTGAATCCGGTCGAGGCGCCAACCACGACCTGCTGCCTCAACAGGTGCCCCACGAGGTAGAAGATGTCCACACCCACCGACATCCCGAAGAGCACCGCCACGAGCATGCCCTGCATCACCATCACGCGGTACGACAGCTGCTGCCGCCGCGTGCCGAAGAACGGCTGGCCGCGCAACACTCGCCCTGCCGCCGCGTGCGCCCCCCGCGCCGCGAGACACGCAACGAGGCCAAAAGAACACCAGAAAGAGAAAAAAAAACGTAGGGAAGCGTAGCGATCTGTGAGCGTGGGGGTATTCATTTCATATGCAGAAACGGACGGTGTGTGCATTCGTCCGCGGCAGAGCAAAGTTTCCCGGGCAGGGACGCTCAAGAAGGTTAAACGCATAAATAGTTGTGAATATTCGGGCCGACACGAGCAGCCGTTTCTCAACGGAACGGTTCGCACAAGGAACGCACAGTGTAAAGAGAACAACGGCCAACATGCAGGCTCACACAATGAAACCAGCAAATGAGTTTCAACTTCAATTCAAGGAAGTGTGAAAAGAGGGAATCGTCTTCCACAGACGTTGGGGAGATTGTACCTTTATCAAGGTGGTCTCCACATTACCCCCCCTTTTTCGAGACTTCTTCTTGGGGTAAAGGGAACCCGACCGGCTGGCGGCGGGGCGATTCACGTTTCTTCACAATCCTCTGTGCGTGAATACACGGGTTCGCTACGTCCGCCACGTCATCAGAAGTTCCGAGCTCGGTACCCAGTGCGTCCTTCTTTGGCCCACCCACCATTTTTCTTTTTCCGTTGTCTGGGAGAAAAGTTGGTGAGCGCGGGTTTTGAACCCGTGTCTTTTGCAACCAAAAGCAGACACTCCGACATCGCTGTCGACGCCATTGTGAAAAGAGAGAATCGTCCTCGACAGACGTTGGGGGGATTGTACCTTGTGAAGGTGGTCTCCACAGAAGTGGCCAAACAGACCCGACACAAGATGAATCCGCGCGGTGCGTCGACACTCGAGACACCACCGGAGGGCCGGGGAGAAAAAAAAGAAAAGCTTCCGTTGGTGGCTCCTGTGCGTCCAAACATGAAAAAACGTGCAAGCCACCGCCCAGAACCCATGGAAAGACAACATGCGCAACACCCTCTCGAAATTGTGGACACCATAATGTAGACATGGGACTCACCACTAGTGACGGCCACAGCGGCGAAATACATGGTCCAGCCCAACCACAACAGCCCCGAAACCATCGACATCATGGCGTACGATAGCTGCACGCGCAGCACGCACACACCACACACACCAACAGGCACCGTCGAGGAGAGTGATTGCGACACAGAAACACACGTACGATCGGTTTCCGCACCGGCGACGTGCAGCAAGGGACAGGGAAAAAAACGAGCGCTCGTCGAAAACGAGAATAAACGGCCAGCATGTAGCAAAGGCAATCAAAGTAAACGTGTGTAGGCAACATATTCGATCTAGCGGTATTCGTGAATCTGAGAGTGCTGCCAGTTCATACGTGTTGTCATCAGCGGGTTCGACGCAACGGACAAAGTTACAGCGAACAAACACGCGCGCCCACGCAAAAGACACACGCACGTGCGTGAGATACACACGGCCTACGGCCTGCCCGCCGCATGGGGAAGAGTTGTAGTAATGAAGCAGATCGACTCTACTCCGAGCACAGAAGTGCCATGCCCAACCCAGAGCCACCAAACCGCACGAAGGACTACCGGCATCACCGCACTTGCGACGCCCTACTGCAACTGCGCCTCCAATACACGCACCGGTGCCGACAGGCAGCAATGAGAGAGAAGACAGACAGCAATGCGAGAGAAGACAGGCAGCAAGGCGATAGAAGACAGACGGCAAGGCGATAGAAGACAGACAGCAAGGCGAAAGAAACACATGTCACAGAATCACCACGGGTCTACAGACTCGAGCCTTAGCGGGAGAAAGAGAGGCGGGAAGAGTTAAATTAAATGTACACTGAAATTGTAAGGCCTACCTCGAACAGCCCGTTGAGCCAGTCGACTTGGTCCAGACGAGCGAGATAGGGGTGGCGCAGCAGCATCACGGCCACGCCCACCAGCAGAGAGAGAAACCCATACAGCACCTTCGGCAGGATGAAGTCGATGAAGCTATCCGACTTGGGGTGGTGAGGCGGGTACTGCATATTTTCGTTGTCGTGGTGGTGTAAATAGCAGAACCACAGAGCGGCCCAGACACAACAACGTCCAGAGAAGCCAGCAAAGGAGAATGTCGGGGACGGGGACGGGGACGGGGAGTCGGAAATTAGCAACAGTTTGGAAGGGGAGTGGTTCTTGGTGGTTGTTGTACGATCTGGAGCAATGCATTTGATCGCGCGGCTCAGCGCGAGAAGGACCACTAGTCTCGCCGTTTTCCAACACTCCGGCGGTGTACCTCGCGCGTTGTGCCGTGTTGTAGAGACTGCTGAATCACATCGTAGGTTTCACCAAGGGGTATTGTATGCAGGAGGGAGTATCTTCACGACTGAGCACACGACAGAGCGACCAAAAGAGAGGGAGAAAAAAAACTGCAAGCAAGCGCGCGAATGGACAATCGTCGCACAAGGGTTTCCGCATCGGGAGGTTGTACCTCCCACCGCCCGACGATTCGAGCTGCCAGCCACACAGCCAACTTCACTCACATCGTCTTTGAGGAAACAAGGGGACGCGGCGGATTCACCCCCTTTCGTATCGACCGAGGCGTCTCCATCTTCTCCAGCCACTTGCCGGTAGGCAACGCCCGCGGCTGTGGCACTTCCGTCGAAAGAGGAGTCCGACCGTTGAGACCTACCGCGCAACACAAACATGTGCACAACACACACACACACACACACAAGATGGCATTGTGAGCAAAGCCTACAAATTGTCGATGTTCGTGGAGAGTACGTTCGAGAGGAACAGCCAGTATTGTGAAGCACGCTGTTGCTCTACCGGATAAAGGAATGCCTATTGTACGGGGTAGTGCGACCATGTCGGTTGTCAAAATCCGTTGAAACATGGCACAGTAAGACTGTATACAGAATTGCACATTTTCTACTAGTTCGTTGAGGTTCGCCGGGCTGTTCGAGCCAAAGACACGTAATGTTGTGCACGTGTTTGTGCGAGCTGTTGAGCTTGGGGAACGTCCCACCACAGCTGGAAGCCAGCTGTGGGTTGGCCCAGCTCCCTGTTTTATTTTCATCTTGCACCAACCCTTGATGATACCGTGCTCTCATGAGCCCAATCCGGAGGTATGCCGGCATGTAACAAATACATTACAAAAATAATACTGCCTCGGAGCAGAGGGGTCCCTTCTTGGAGCGCCTTAAAATACAGAAGGCCAGAGGCTCGTGATTTTCGTGCGACATGTCTCACCTCTTTCTCACGAAGTGCTGCCCATCCATGAGACAGATCCAGCACAGCCACATTACCTGTCGATAGTTGCGTCACAAAGAGCAAAGTAGAGGGCAAATGCGGAGGTGTGTCTACTACGGGAGGTGTTGAGTTGGCCTTGAGGATACGGGAGACGCTGCAACACAAGGGCGTTAAGCGACGGTCGAAGCTGTTGGTGGCAACAACGATCTCCGCGAAAACCAAGCAATGAGGGCCCTGTGCAACTCTCTCCCTCTCTCTCTCTCATCATGATCTTCATGCTCTTCATGCTGGCCATTTGGATATGAGGGCTTGACTTCGCTCTACGGCAGATTGCTGTACATCGGTTTACTATTCAGAACTAACCATCATACCGACTCCTGCAAATTTTTCAGAACTCCACAGCAGCGGCAGGCCGCCAGCCTTACAAACGCCTCACCCCCGACCACACCCATACGAAAAAAAATACGCGACGGGTTTTCTACGACGCCAACCGAGGCGTTTTTTAGTCATTTTTTCACAAGAAACAAGTGAGCTCCTCGCGAATTCCTGAGACGAGGGAAAAACACTCTAGCGCGATGTCGGCTCGAGAGAAAATACAACTGCATAAAATACAGTTCGGGACACCGTACCTGCATGCCGGTAAACTGGCAGAGGTCTCTGCATAGCTGCACCCAGCGCCATGGTCCGGTGTCGAAGGAGGAGGGCCCGAGCAACCAGTCTTCCACGGCCATCACGGGGTTTTGCCAAAGCAACAGCCCGAAGAGTAGCATCTACGCCATCCAAAGGAAGGGGGGGGGGTGATCGCATGATCTCTTCAGCGTTCGGGAGTTGCATGTGTCGGCTGGAGGGGTTGCATCAGTGCGGCATCGTCGGCGGGTCTAACCAACCTCTATTCACGGCAGCAAAGAGCAAAGGAGGGCAAACACTTTACCATCCTTCTGACTGTCTGAGCTTGTACTTCGAAGTATTTGTCCCGTGGTGGTTGATGCCGCCCTCGCACTCTGGCGTGATCACGTACTGTAGCCCCCTCCAGCCTCACACTCCTCCCCCTTGGAGCTTTGCCTCTATTAGTATTCTTTACCACATACTAACAAGTACTGTTTTTCCTGCCTCACCGTGATGTAACGTCGTTCCGGCACGATTGCAGACGGGGCCGGGTCTCGCTCCCCGCCGGCACCGCCGAACCCTCGCGTCATCCAGTACAGCAGCAGAAACGCCTGCAACGGAAGTTTCGCATGTTCAAACAACTTAATCAGAGTCGCAATTGGCACATTTCGCACCATCGGAGCGAGTACGAAGAAGCATCACCAGCGCCGCAACCACCGACAGCGCTACGAGCAGCAGCAGAAAACGAGAGTGGCGACAATCAACAGGATGCTTCACCGCCGCCCTGCTTCGCGAAGGGTCGGCGGGCAGTCCGGCGGGCAGTCCGACGGGCGGGTGGTTAGACGAACAACCGCATTCGTTCAGCACCGCAAGAGCGATCAGAGAGTATTCGCACGAGTATACAATACAAATGGAAGGAACGGTAGGACGGGTATTTTGGCTTACCGTAAGGGCGAGCAGCGGAAGGCGCGCCATGGATCGGACCTCCGAGTAGACGCGGCTTTCCGTCTCCACCTTGAATGTCGTTGACCGCGCTACAAGACCGCCCCCACCCAGAATAGGCTGCCCGCCCTGTTGTTGGCGGCGGAATGGTGCGTGCATGGAGCAACAGCAGCAACAGCAGCAGCAACAAACCATTCCGACAGCGACAGCGACACCACCGCCAACAACACCAAGTAGTCAGGAAACCACCAGGAAGAAAATAGCAGCAGCAGCAACCGCAACAGCTGCAAACGCGACGACAACCTGAGTGTCCGAAACATTGTAAACGACAGGAAGAGTGTGGTGTGCGATGCAACCAAAATCTCGCGCAGCGGGTTAGCTGCAGCGCGTCACAGCTAGCATGGGCGATGTTTTTCGTCATTGGATTGGCTGAGGCCTACTGCTTCCCAGAACGCACGAAAACGGCCAGGTGTTGGGGGCGATCGTCTCAAAACCTCCTCAAAAACCGTGAGAACAGCTCCCGCACGAATTATTCCAGGGAGAGAAGCCACGTGTGTGTGCTAGTGACGGCGGCAAGCGGTAAAACTTACAATAGCCTGTGCTTGCGAAGCGTTGAGCATCTATCAAACGTCCAAACGTCCCGTCAAAAGCTTTCGGTACGCAATCTGATTGACGCAACAACCCACACGACCATCTGTACTACGTCGACAGCCCTGCCTGCATGCACCCCCTCAGAGCACAAGCATTCAAGTTGTTGGCTAGTAGCGGCCGCGGCCGGCGTTTGATTGGGACCGGAGACGACAGGAAGGCATTCAACATTCAGTGCTAAGTTATTCTCGCTGCCACAATCGTGAGAGATTGCCGAATCTCGGATTTCCGGTCTACGTCCGGTAGACCAAATAGTAGATCCCACCGCCGTTACTACGGGACCCCGTACAACACAAGGTGGCAAAAATATACTCAGGTCATGGCATATCGTTGTCGCGGTCGTTGCACATGGCGGTAGATACTGCACCTGTATGGCCAAGATCGTCGCCTTCACTGCATACTCGGAATGGTGCCCGATGATTCCGATCGAGTCCAACACCACCCTCCCCAGCGTCGACGTGTCGCACTCCATTTCGCTAGGGTGGCAGTTCAAGATCTGATTACGGCCGGCAGAAACAAACAAACAAACAAAAAAGAAGAAAAACATGGATCGTGGGGTTTCGTGATGACCACGCATTTTAGAAGGAATCCTAATACGAAAACATTAGTCCACACGATGGCGTCATGACGACCCCGAAACACACAAAGAAAAGCATCAACTGGTGTTTCGAGAACGAAATACCGCCAACGCGATGTGTACCTACCTGTAAATACGTGCTGGAAAAACCAGTTCCAGTTTGGGTAGAAACACGAAAATCCAACAATCAAAGCGAGCGAACGCGAGTGATTTTCCTTTGCAGACTTTCTCTGAATGGCATTCATGTTCAATGGCAGCTGCCCCAGTCATACGCTTTTCGCGTCCCAACAAGCGCACTCACAACACAAGTAAGACACAGAATTGAGTTTGTGCAGTGCCAAAACTACCGAACGAGACAGAGATACAGACACACAGACAGAGACACAGAGATGCAGAGAGACAGACAGACAGCTAGAAATAGAGATAGAGAAGGAGGGGGAGAGGAGGAAGGTGCCAGACGAGACAAGGCCCGGAAACCTGCCGAACTTGCTGGTGATGCTACGTACAAAGACCAAAGACCGCCGGATACCTGCACGTTGTCCTGGGCAGCGCAGCTGTACAGGGACTCCCACATCTCCGTGCCTCCGACCAGTCCTCGAATCTGAAAAAAAAAAAAAAGGACTTGTTTTTCCATCGTACTGAGCCCCTTCAAGACGTTGTGTCGATGCCATTGGCATCCATGAATGGGGGCAGACTATTCCAATGGCCAGCCGGCGACAAATAATGCAGCATCTTGGGGTCACGGGACTAACGCTGCGATACAGTTCACCAAGCAGCATGGCTCGTGCGCGCCGTGGATGAAAATTGTCTGTCTTCTGTCACCTCAAGAGCAACCCCCAGGGCAAGCTGTTCCACATCATCGTCAGCATCTTGCTGGACCCCCCTGTTCCGAAACGGCAGCATCAGACCCCTCCTCCGCCCCTCCGTCATCTCCTCGTCACCACCACCAACATCTTCGATGGCCAACCCTCGGCGGCTTCGTTGCCCGCCCGCACCCTCCTGCCCGTCTACAGCATCACCCTCGCCGCCTCCGCCGCCTCCGCCGCCGCCGCCGCCGCCGGTCGCAACCCCATCCGACGGTGACGGCGTGACGAGGCCATCAACCACCTCAAAGTCAAAGTCGCCCTTCACCACAAGAAAGCTAGTCGCGTAGAGAGATCGAAGTTTTTTCGCGTTGAAAGAGAGAGAGAGCACGTGTTGTTTTTCCGTGGCCATGCGGATAGTGAAGAGGATGGGATGGAATCGAGGAGAAAGGAGGGAAGGGAGGGGCAAGGGAGGAGAGGCAGGGAGAGGATGGGGGTTAGCACGCGTGCCGCTTGTGAGGTCGGATTAACAGAGAAGCAGCAGTGCCGGTACTAGTTTAGAGCAAGACCGGAAAACACAAGTCGTGCCATTTCGACCATATCGTGAGAAGCTGTGTGAAACCGGCCCATCAAACCACTCCTACGTTGCGCCATTGCTTGGGCCTACGTTTTGCCTCGCGGAAACAAGCCTTCACCTGCCACGACATCTGGAATAAACACGCGACAACCGCTTGACAACAAAATGTTCGATCACATGTCGCACGCGACGAACACAACAAGCCGGTACAGCGGGGACAGCGCCTACCGAACGCTACGGCGGGCGAGTGGGCTACGCGTAATAAAGCCGGCAGACCATCATCAACACACCGACAACTGCAAAATTCGGGCAAGTTCCGTCGTAGAACATGGTTGAGCGCAAGTTCCGTAACAATTCACGCTGCCGTACGGGACAAAAGCGTTGAAAACGACAACTAACACCTGGTATGTACTCAGAAACAAATATTGCTCCTCCTCACGAGGAATTTTTATTTCACACGATCGATGTTGTGTGCGGGGTAGAAACAACAGGGCCCCGCTTCCCTCTCTCCCTGGATACATACGTTTTACCAACCTGTTGTGTATGGGAGCGCCCGTAACATTCCAGCTGCAAACCCCGGAGTCGTCGCAGGCGTTACCCGAGGGGGGGAACAAGCGTGACGTCACGTCTAGCTTCCCCATATCAAGCCACAGCGCCAGAGCCAAGAGCCTTTGGGCCGTGTCGCACGCGGGAGGAGGCATGCACATGGTGAAAACGTCGGAACAGAATAGGAGGCCGTGCAGCAGTGTACCGTATACGGTGCCGACAAGCGATACCGACGAGAAGGGTGGGAGGGTACCAAACATGCGCAAAGAGGATTTAAAGAAAGGCAGCCAAAACATAAAAAAAAACAAAAGAGCAAACGACACTGGGGCTCTGATTCCGCCGCATAGCGAAACCGAACGGGCATCGGCAAAAGAGTTCCATTCCGGGCGGTCTCCCTCGGCAACCCCTCGAGAGGACACCCAACAGTCATCTTCCCGATCCTCGCACCAAGACAGCAAGCAGCGCCTCACCAAGACCACAGCAACGACAGGGAGGCAGCTGGTTTCACAGCAGCAAGAAGGAGGCGTCCCGCTTCAGCATGGCGGCCAGAGCTGCACTGAGCCGCGGCAGCCACCAAGTTATACCCTACTCTCAGGCGCTAGCAGCCTTGCCCCAACAGAAAGCGACGCCCCAACTTTGGTGGGCCCACAAACGTGGGCGAGAATCGGCCAGAAGACAAAAAGATTGGCTTTTACGTGAGAAGGAAGGCGCGCATGTTGCCACTGCCACATACCGCGGCGAGCGGCGGGTGTGTGTGTGTGTGTGTGTGTGTTTTATTATTATTAGCATCGACCGCGCTAACCGGCTGACCAATGAAAATACGTCAGTCTTACGATTGTGCGGTTGAAAACACAAAACACTTCTATCTGCCATGAACTGGGACCCCGTGAGGGGGCAGTGTGTGTGTGTGTGTGTGTGTGTGTGTGTGTGTGACTCACAGGTAAGGGAGGATGAACACCGCGTAGGTGGCCGGGCTTCCCAGCGATTCGAGCTGGATCTCTGCCGCCTCCACCAGCCGCACGCCGTGCTTGTAGAAGATCTGGTGACCTGTTTCGAATTCGGTTGTTTAATGCGTCATTTCAACGTGTCAAAACAGGCGGTCCAAAGTACGGAGGTACAGGTCGAAAGGGATTGCTACTCAGGTGCAAGCGGGAAAAGCGGTGTGAAAAATCCGCCGCCGAAACAGCAGTGTCACGAAAACGCAACACAGGAGGGAGGAATATACCGTGTTGTCGGACGGATTGTGGGGGGGTGCCGGCAACAAGACCCCCGTCCTGCTACTTGCGGCTTCATTTATCCGTCGCCCCCCGGTGCGGTTGGGGGACTCACGACGGAGCTGCCATGTGCGGGCGGTCGATGCAGGCCACAAGAGCGGCAGCAGCTGCAGCAGCTGCAGCAACAGCGGCGATGGCACAAGTAGCAGCAGTAGCAGCAGTAGCAGCGGCTTCGTACATTTCGGGGGTATTTGGCGCGGTTCTACAACCAATGCGCCACTATTTTGTTTCGAGGTGCGTTTCTGAGATAATGTAACAGCCTCAATTTGGTCCCGCCCGTCTCGGAACCATGTTGCGAGTAACGCTCCCTTAAGCTCCACCGTCCACTGTTTCAACCGACAGCACAGCAGATGCTCCCCCCACGTTCGTACGAAGCGCGTACAACGCGGCTCCGCGAAGCACACGTTTGGGGATAAGAGACACATACCCCTGCGAAACACACGCGGTTGTTTTCTTCCCCGTGCTTGAGTGGCTTAGCGGGGCGGATTCCAAGCAAAGAAACACAGGCAGAGACGGTCTTTCTTCTATTGCAGGTGCTCTGCATCCAGAGACTGGACCCTGTCGTCAAAACTCTTACACACCATGCCGGGGGAGCTCGACAGCTATAAGGTGTGCCCGGGTTTTTCGTCCCGCGATAAAAGGTCACGTATTTTCATTAGTCAGCCCGCTTCGCTCGGCGCGTGCTACCCAAATGCAAATAACCACACACCCACGCACACAAGCACAATGCTATAGGTGCAAGCAGCGCACAGGCATCCCGGACAAGAAAGCACAAGCCTTACCCTGGTCGTCAACCTTGCGCCCTTTCGCAAACGCGGTCTTGGGCTTGTCCGATGAAATTTTGCGCTCGATTTCCCCCCCCCCCCCCCCCCC